CCCTCCATATCTTCAGCGTCCTCCGTATCACCAGCATCCTCTGTATCAGCATCCTCTGTATCAGTGTCCTCCGTATCACTACTAGCCTCTGTATCAGCAACTCATCCTAYGTATCAGTGACTCATTCTACTACRTATCAGCATCCTCCGTATCAGTGACTTGTCCTCCTCCRTATCAGCATCCTCTGTAGTATTAGTGGGCCTCCTCATAGCCTCGTAGCCTCCACCATATCAGCAACTCCTCAAAATTGATATAGAATAGTTTCTTTTTTTAATATTGACAGCTTGCTGCCTGTGCTGGTTGGAATTAAGACTATTGTTCCACATGTAGAGCACTGTAAAATTAATACTGTTAAAAAGCTGTCATGTCGTAATTTGGACCCAAAAGGGTATGAGGTAGGAAGGCAAATGTGTTGCCAGAAAGCAAAATAGGTTATGAGTACAAYAAAATGCCCCAGTTTTTGTCATTAGCAGCTAGCTTTGCTTGCTTGTTAATGCTAGCAAAGAAGCACCAATCAGAGTTCAAGAAGCCATAAGTCGGAAAGGGTTTTCTTTTCTCTGTACAACCATGTGCACATTGCTATGTGAATTTTGAAGAGAACCATTTCTGGCTTGTTGATTTATTCTCTGTACATGGAAAATTCAAAAAAACTCACTGACACAACCTCCAGCATAGGGACCTGTCTTGCCCTACAGAGAGAGCTATCAGCAACACCTCCTGGCAACACACCCACCAGAATAACTTCATTGTAACAAGAATAAGGGGATCCAGGATTGTAAGATTGATTGACCAAGTGGTTTACAAGAAACAGTACTACTACTAGTAGCACTACTACTACTAGATCTAAGCAGCAGCAAAAACTTGTCAACAAATAAGCAAAACAGAGCTGTACTGCAACAAGCAAACCAAGCATATTGTTGGCTTCTTCCAAATTGAACAAGCAACACATCCTATTAATTACAATAAGGAAAAAGGGATCCAGAAGTTGCNCAACAAGCAAACCAAGCATATTGTTGGCTTCTTCCAAATTGAACAAGCAACACATCCTATTAATTACAATAAGGAAAAAGGGATCCAGAAGTTGCAGATCAATTGACCGAGTATTTTGAAAAAAAAGCTTTTTGCTGTATTTTGGACCATGAGTCGAGCAATAACAACAACAACAACAACAACAACAACAACAACAGCGGCGGCGGCAGCAGCAACTATTCCTGTTGGCTCTGTAGTACCAAATGGACACGCTGTTGCCGCGTGTAAGAATACAATAATTGTGGCCAGAGGTCTGGTCATGTCTAAGAAGGAAGAAGGTGAGGAGTGCTCTGTCAATAGGGAAATGGAATTTGCTAAGTTCACTAAAGAGGAATGTAAGAATAAAGCCCTTTGCAAAAGAGTTCTGAGGTACAGGGACAAGCTGGAGCTACAAGCAGTTGCCAGTGTTCCCTTATCACACATTGATTGTATCTCACCACCAGACCTATCAGGCCTCACAGGAAGTGCTGGTGTCAGTACCACTGCTGTTGGTATCCCCAGGACTGGCAATACCAKTAGTAGTAGCAGAGAAGATGACAACAACAAAGCCCAACTGTCCAAGACAACTACCTATAACAACCTATGGTTCAATACCCTAAAGAATAYTAGGTTGGTATCTTGAGGATGGGCAAGAGAAACTACTGCAGATGATGGTGAGGTTGAAGGAGAGCTGGTATTTTTTGACAGTCAACTAAAGTGGTTTGACTCTTGACAGTAATCATTCTTTGACAKGAGGCCATTCTTCGTCTACAAGATTCTGGTCTTCAAATCCCACTATTGCCTGTGGCACAGACAGAACAAATAAGAGCAGCAYGCAAGTGACTTTTATTGCTTGGAGTAGTACTGCTGCAGGTTCTCCWATGCCCCCTCATTTTGAACTTGAATCCAAGGTGGAAGAAGAAGACAAAAAAATCCAAGATGCTTTCATCAAAGGTGTTCTAGACATTGAAGGTGTCTTTGGTAATAATAAGTTAACAAAGAATGGATTCACAGTAAATTGCAACGTAACAGCTGGGATGGATGCAAAGAACTTTCATCTWTTCATGATGGATTCYATTGTAAAGCTTTGTCCAGATGCGGCAGTTCTGCCTTGCAAAAGAGTTCTCATCATTGTGGACAGGGGACCTGGATGGACAAAKGATCTTTCTTTGTTGGTGAAGCTAAAAGCAAGAGGGTTCTATTTACATGCCAGAGTTCCCAATACTATGCATGTTGCCCAGCCCACCAACCAGAACTATGGACTGCGCTGTTCCAGTCAATGTATTGCCGTAACTTGGAGACCCTTGTTTATTTCTCCAGGGCTCAAAAAGACAACGTCAGGCAAATTGATTTCCTGTTGCTTGTTTTTGGGAAACAAACTACATGCTATGAACAAGTTGTTTTGGAGCCTGCCCACAGCAAAGCATTGTCAGTTGCAAACTTCACAGCACTGGAAAAAAATTGGAATTGCACTGTTTACAACGCAGTGTGTATCAGGTAGTAAAGTTGCCRACAAGCTGATAGTAGTACTAGAAGATGGTAGTATTGACTTGATGGCTGATCCTGATACCATTGTGTTGGTTGAGAATGAAGAGAAGAATGCCAAAGCAGGATAGTTGTTGAATGATGCTGGGGTTAACAATGGTAGTACTAGTGTCTTCCAAAAGTATGTACCCCAAAAAAAACAGCTTTTTGAAACAGCCAATGTACTACCAAATTCCAGAGCTTGTCAAGATGCATTGGGCACAGCAAAATATTCCAGTCAATAGTTCATTATTACAGGAGGAGATACACTTAACACCAAGGATTACTTTATTGCTGAAGAGAGGAAGCAAATGCAAGAGCACATCAAAGGCCTGGAGTCACTGAAGAAAAAAGCCAAASCAGTACCTGAGTTCAATCCCAAGGCTACCAGTTTGATTGAAGAAGAGTATGCCTCCAAGGGAAAAGATGTTAAGAAGGAAGATGATGCCAAGTCCCTTCCAGTT